ATCTATCTATCTATCTATCTATCTATCTATCTATCTATCTATCTATCCATCCATCCATCCATCCATCCATCCATCCATCCATCCATCCATCCATTATTTAATATATTTATTAATGTCAATTGACTGTATCTGGAAAGTTATCAAGTTGCTAAAAGAAACACTCACATGAAAGACTCACTACCAATTGTACCAGAGGTGCAAGGTACCAATTGAGGTACCAATTGTACCAGAGGTTCAGTAGGTTCTGACCAGTTCTGGAGAACCAGTAGCAGAAATTTTGAGTAGTTCGGAGAACCAGCAAATACTACCTCTGACTGGCCCTGCCCCCATCTATTCTCTTCCTCCTGAGTCCCAGCTGATCGGCTGGGTGTTCTTTTGTTGGCCTGCACAGGAGAACAGAGCTGGAAAGCAGGTTAGCGCGATGGGGAGGGAATGAGATTTCACAGTAACCTTCCCCTGGAATGGGGTGGTAATGGAGATTTTACAGTATCCTTCCCCTGCCACTCCCACCAGCCATGCCCACCAAGCCACGCCATGCCTACCAAGCCACACCCACAGAAATGGTAGTAAAAAAATTTGAATCCCACCACTGAAGTGTACTGTTATGTGCCAATAATGTGTTTATAGGATAAAACTAAATTGAATATAGGGGTGATCAAACTACATTCCTATGGTTGCCAGCCAGGCAACTCCCACTCTTGGGGTGAGCTCATCTCAGCTTTAAAGAAAACATCCAAAATTCATTACACTAGTAGAACCGAATATATGTAGATCAAGGTTGAATTGTGGAATCCTTGGTGCTCTCTGAGCCTGGTTATTTGATTCCAGTCATTTCATTACCTAACTAGGTGACATCATCAACGTACAACTAAGCTCAGAGAACAACAAAGACTCCACAAAAATTAATGAAGAAATAAAACTTCACTAAGTCAAGCATTCAGGTGCACTCTACTATTAAATGGAATCCAAGAGCAATGTAACCCATCTACTGTAAGCTAGAACATGTGAAAAAGAAATAGACCTGATTTAACTTATTCATAATATACACAAATTTTTTAAAAAGTAAATAATGGTCAGCATTATAGCAAAATCAACACAAACTGTTAAAAGGATAACACTGCCATACATTTGTTATGTATGTGTTTTAAACTTCTATCTGGCTTCAGAAACTTCATCTTCCCTGAAGACTCTTTGAAAAATGGTCTTGATGCTTTCCCTGGACCGAGTTTGTTTTTTTCTCCCAACCAGAAAATAGATCACTTGGTTAATGCTGCTGTTTAGGCAAGCACCCAGTTCAAAATATTTGTCCAATAGAGGAAATTGTGAAAAATAATTCTTGTCAAGAACATTAATAATGAAAAGGTAGATATCTAATGGAACAGTTAAAATAAGAAAACAGAGAAGAGTAATTAAGGTCATTACTAAAAGTCTTCCCCGTTTGTTCTGCTTAGGTTTAAGAACTATTTTGACTAAAAGAATCACAGTAGAGGTTGTGATCAATGGAATACAAATCTCAGTAGTCATCAGCAAATGGGGGTACAAGTTGGCATTAGATTCCAATACATATTCCACAATGTTTGGAATTCCACCCAGGAGGAAAGAGCAGATCCAGATAAAAGCACAGACAGCAGGGGACAAATGTTTTGGCCGGGAACAGCGATGCCAGATTGGGAAGAGGACAGCCACACACCGGTCAATGCTGATGGCTACCAGAAGTAACAGACCATTGATATACATAATGTCAGAAATAGAAATGAAGAGCACACAGGGAATTCCTGATGGTATAAAATCTGCAAAATAATTAATGCAGTGTATAGCCATAAACAGAAGAAAACTAAAGTCGGCAATAGCTAAATTCAGAATCAACACAGTGAAAGGGTTTCTCTTCATCTGGTAGCCAAGTAGCCAGATCACAATTCCATTTAATGGGACTCCAATACAGCAGATGATTAATATGATTAAGAACACTATTGTTTTAGAATAGATATACATATTTTGGTACTTGTTGAAATAATTGTTAGTTCTGTATACAAAATTGGTAATATTATCGTTAAAACACATTACTATAGCATCCATATTCGCCAGGCTGAAATTCATTCTGTAATGCTTCAAAATCTCTTGTTTTGGAATGGAAGTTCCTATTGAAAGAAAAGAAAGAACAATATGTTTGTTAATTCTTCAATAATTATCATATCTTCATCACTATCTTGTCTCTGTGGAAAGATTGAGACAACTTTTTGATCATCATCATCATCCTCTGCCTACCCAGGTCCATGGTAAGGACTTGATACGTAGGCAAAAATGCCAAACCCAGTCTGTGTCAGGTTTCCAAGTGATGGAATCCGTTTAAAAAGAAAAGAACAAAGTCCATCTTCCAAGACAAATACTTTTATTTAGGAAAGCATCAAATTGGCAAAGTCCGTGATAATTCCGGATCTGACACAACCTGGAATTATCCCACAATATTAAAAGTTAGAAACAATCCCAAAAAGTCACAATCTCTAATACAAGTAATTCAACATTACTTGATGTCATAAATCCCCACCTCAAGGGGCCCAAGCACGGACACCTTGTTTCCCACGGGAAGAAGAATCACCTAGCCAAAACAACTATCTTTATCTCCACTCCTCCCCACTAGGAATGTGGCAAGCCCGAAATCTTTCCCCCCATTACTGCCACAGAGAAAGTAAGAAAAAGAATATATACTAAGCCTAACTAAAATGGCTACATGTATGTCAATTTCGGGCTTGACAATCTGAACTTCTGGCTGATTGTGCAATGATCAACACCATAATAATAATAAATGCAGAAAGCAGCTTTTCTTGGAACAATTTAATCCTGCAGGGATACCTTTAACACTATCAAACAATAACATCTGCTTATGAGCCATGTTAGAGTTAGAGTGCAGTACTTGCAGGCTACTTCTGCTGACTGCCAGCTGACTGCAATTTGGAAGTTCAAATCTCACCAGGCTCAAGGTTGACTCAGTCTTCAATCCTTCCAAGGTGGGTAAAATGAAAATCCAAATTGTTGAGGGCAATATTTTGACTGTAAGCTGCTTAGAGAGAGCTATAAAGCACTGTAAAGCGGTATATAAATCTAAGTGCTATTGCTATTGCTATCTCAGGTTCTTAGGAAGAGCTGCATCGGTGGACAAAAATGCCCAACCCAATCTAAACATTTGGCCATGTGACCAATTATAATGTATTAATGTATTGCTGCCAATGATTCTGAATAAGTCACCACAATGAAACATCAAACTAATTATCATGAAAACAATTAAAAATATCTCCTACTAGGTGATAGATGCTTCCACTATCCACAAAAAGTGCTTAGGGTTAGGGTTAATTTCACTGTTTATCTTTCAGAACATGCTTTGTTCAAAACATCTTTGTAATAAAGCACTCCTTTGAATCTCTGCACATTTTTCTTCTCAGTCTCTAGCACTAACTGAGGCAGTCTGACTCTAGAGATCTATTCATTGAACCCTTGCCAATATTCTTGTCCCATATAAAATAAAATAAAAAGTGACAGAATCAGCAGAGCAAATACATCCACTTAGTTTGATGGACATTTGTTACTAATTGAAGTTCTTTCTGCCTAAATCTGTGGAGGTCCTTTTTCTTTGTAGGTCATAAGAAGAGATTATCTCCAAAACATTTGTCTCAATTCATTCACATAAAGAGAAAGTTTAAATACCAGGAAACAGTGCTTGAGTTTAAAACTGTCTTATTTCAATTGCATCTTATATTTAATTATAAGTAAAGGTAAGAATGCAATGTTTATTGTCTAAATTGCCCTATAACCACTAACCCTATTCCATGTATTAGGTTTCCAAGAATTATCAATTCTCTCTCTCACATTTCCACCATTCTCATAATACCAGGTTCATGAGGAAATGAGAACTCCCTAACGCTGACCAATAAAACTGTATTCCCCCAAAATATAACCTCCCCAGACCTCATCACTAGTTGGTGCTCCAACCTCCAAAAGTCTCTGTGGTGTAAATATAATAAAATGTAAAAACATAATAGAAGCAAACAATCAAACAAAAAGATATGTGGTACTAGTATGATTACAGATTTATATTTTTGTTATGTTTTTACTTTTGTTATGTATTTGGTACAAGATGGTTTGGGGACTTGTGAGCAATTGGTATGAGAAACAACTTTGTGGTGAATGCCGGTTTGTAAAATTATGTATCAAGCTGCTATCTTGCCATCATACCATTGTTACATCTAATATTGCCTTGTGATACATGATCAATTGTTCCCCAATATTGTAATTGTGCTAGGTTTGTGCCATGGTGCTTTGAGCATGAGTAAAGGGAAGAAAGTTCTAAAAAATGCATCCAGAGATGCTGTCATGCCCCTGGTGGAGACTGACTCTGAGGAAGAGGAGGAACAGCCAACAGGGAGTGGGAGTGTGGCTCCAGAGATGGTGGAGGAGGCTGGGGAAGGGCAGAGGTCGGCTGAGCAGTCAGAGGAGGATCCAGGCCCATCCCCTCTCCATCCTAGGTCACGCAGGGAGGAGAGGATCAGGGAAAAGCGAGGTCTACTCAAGAGGAGATTACCATGATCCTCCTTGTGGCTTGCAGCTGGGAGCTATGTATATAAGTTTGTAACTGCGTAGTCAGAATTGCTGGAGTCAAAGTTTAATGTTTTCTTTGAAAGAGGTTTATCTTTGCTGGCATTCTTCCCATGGACTCTCCTCGGTTATCTTCCTGGAATGTATGATTAATTATCTTGGCTTGCTTTGGAACTCTCGTCAATGCAGTTTGTTTTGGTTTTCTTTTTGCCTCATTATTTACTTTTGTGACTTTAAACTGTGCCTAATAAAACAGTGAAGTTAAGTTGAAGGCATTACTGGACTTTAATGTATGTTTTGGGTTTGGGGTTATTTTGAGAGACTACGGGTCATCATAGATGTGGATAGGGTAATTGGCTTCCATGAGAAAATGAATGTTATTTGACTTGAAACAAGCAATTTGGATAAGTTTTTAAGGGGGAGTTCCTACCCAGAATAACACGGACCACTTTGCATACTTACCAAGCTACAAGTATTACAAGATAAATGGCAACTTTATCTTTGTCTCACAGAAAGCTGAAAAGACAGAGAAATAATTTGCCAAACCAGTTGACACTGGTTGATCAAAAAGATGCAGACCTGTTGTGGTTCGCCGGCAGCAGGTGTGGACAGCTGAGGTCTCCGAGAGCGAGGACTTGGATGAGGGTCCTGCGTGTGATGCAGGGATGGGGCCAGGACTATCAGAGAGCAGGGTGCTGTCTTTGGAGCTTGTGGAGTCTGGCAGCAGTGATACAGAAGACCCCGAGGAGCCTGTGCCCAGTGCCTGTGCTTTTATGTATATTTTGTGTTTATTTGATTTGAACAAGGCTTGGGTCAGAACAAGACCCAAAACTGTAGTAGTGCAAATGTTGTATGCATAAATTTAACCTTTTAAAAGATTTTTCCTGTAATGTTCTTCCCTCTCTTCTGGAGGGAGAGTGATAGTTGTAGGAACAGAAAAATATAAAGTTCTGAGGTTCCAGTTTCAGACTCTGCAATACTGGTGTAAGGAGTATGTGCAAAATTGTGGCTATTCTATTCTGTCTTGGTAATTTTCCATAGAAGAAATCTTGCTTAACACGTATACCTCTCAGAGCAAAGTTCACTAAGCTGACAGGAAAAAGGAGCTGATAAGATTAACTTCACAAAAGCCTGTGAAAGGATGTGTATTCAGTTTCACAAAAGCCTGTGTCAGATAAAAAATGTGTATTCGATAGCAGTCACGATGTATCATCACAGAAGCTTGTGTCAGATAAAAATACAGGAAAAAACATGCTTATCAATAACAGTCAAGAAGTTCGTTACTTGTATCAAGTAAGCCTGTTTTCAAAGATAAAGTTTGTAACTTCTTTGTCTTTCTGTAAACCCCCCTCACCCCCCTCTTTGAATCAGCACAATAAAAAGAGGACAGCGTAGAGCAAGCTGGCAGCCTGAACAATCCATCTGTCTCAAGCTCAACCGGGGCAATTCCATCTGCCTCAGGCTATGTGCTTCCTCACCTAAAGAAATCATTTGTTTTGTGTCTTTTTTCTTTGTGCTTGGCACTCACTCTTGCGAGAGTCCTGCTAAGCCTCACCCTTGCAAGGGTCCCTCACTCGCCCTTGCGAGGGCTAAGCTTCCTGAAAGGAATTCAGCAATCAACCTGAAGATCTAAACAACAGACCGGTCGCTCGACGCGACACAAAATTCTTGGGACTGAGTGAGAATCACCTATTTCATAGACAAAGGGAGAGCTTCATGGGGAAAATAAAGTGGTAAATAGTTGAAAAATAATGTTGGGTAAGTTAAAGGGAGCATCTCTCAACTTTGCACCAGGGCTATTAAAATTCTGGGTTTCAGTTATTTTAACTTTAATTAATAAAATGTAATATTTTAATTGGAAAATTAGTCCCAAAAAGTCAATAAAGTTGACTATCTACAGTACATATAAATATCACAATATTTTTATATGAATTAAATGGATGAACATAATTGCATCTGCACATGCCTAAATTAGATTAGATCTTTAAAATTTCTTACCTATCTGAATCTATTGACCAAGGTCTTCAAGTTTGATGAGAAGAAGTTAACATGTTATTGACTTCTGGAGGGTCTTTCTTGATTCATTGGACCTAGCAGCTGATCTATGACCATAAATAATAATAAAAAGGAAAAGACAAAGAGAAGATAGG